TGTTTGAAGGTATCTCCAAAACGGCTGAATGGATCTCGATGAAATTAAGCATACAAATAGAACATACTCTGGGAGAACACATAGGCTACTAATTATGTTTTTTTATTCCGCTCGGATGGCGTCGCGGGCGACAGCTAGTTCAGAATAGGTAAAACAATTGACATTTACACGGGAAAATCATAACCCTTTAGTCGATTGTCAAAAATAATAGATTTCTATAGTTGTGCTTTGGTTTGTTTTGATGTATATTAATCTTATATTTTGTAAAGTTTATCAGCTTTAAGTTTACCGTAAAAAAACTCTTGATAACTAGCAAAAAATAATCGTTAATCTTTCATTAAATCGATGTTTTAATTGTTACTTATTTTCATCTCCTCAACTTTGGGTCGTTAGAACTTCTAAAAGTATAAAAACTGTTTACCATCAACAAAGATAATAAATTCATCCATTAATAACTTCGTGAAGTACTGAGTGCTTTTTTGCGTAAAAAATTACAAGTAAGAGATATTTCTCTATTGTATTGTTCCATACAAGTGTTACCGCTGGTTTCTGAGATTAAAATCACTTTATGAAACATAACGTTAGTCCCGTCTTTATATCAAGTGTTAATGTAGTCCGCGAAATGCATTAAAGTTTCCCGCGTTTTGTATCTTTTAGGTAAGGGATTTGTATCGCAATTTTCGTCAGTTTTAAATTTACAATGAGCCATTTAACTTTGCCTTCACGAAGAAAAGCGGCTGCCAGTTAGTCGACTGTCTCTTTCACACTAACTCGATAATAAGCTTTAAAAGTGAAACAAGCGATTTAATATTTCATAAAGGCAGACATCATTAAAGTGGAGTAAGTTCTTATTAACATTTAAATTCGGAATTCACGATTTTTGTAATGGTTTTCCCGAGACTCAGTCACGTAAAGGACGTTAAAACTTGCCTTAGGGTGTGTTCATACTTGTTGCATTTAAACTAATTGAATTTTACTTTTAAAGGAAATTAATGAACATATTATAGGCAATAATAATTTATAGTAACCGAGATAATTTTATATGATACAGTAATGAAACCTAAAAGATACATTTTACCCAACTAGCCGTCGCCTGCGTCTTTGCGTGGGGTATTAAAAAACTTAGTAGCCAATGTGATCTTCTAGACTATGTTCTACATCTATGCCAAATATCAGCGAGATTCATTCAGCCGTTCTGGATATATGTTCTACAAACATTCATACACCCAAACGTAAGCATTTATAATATTAGTAAGATAAGATCGCAATTACAATTTGATATTAGTATGAATTCGACTTTATATCAATTCTCTTGCCATTCCTGTGTGGTATGCGTTTGGTGTTCTATGAAACCGTTATAAAATTGAATTTGAAATTTAATTTAACAATCCCGCGGCAACGGAGATCATTTCGGTAGCGTCACGTCGCCGCTATATAATTACCCAAGATATTAAAAGTTAAATGAAGTCTTTCATTAAGCAATTAATATCCTTTACTTCCTGTTTAACTTTAGTATCAAAACTTACTTAGTATTTAACTTTTCTAAGAAAACATTGAGAAGATTATTAAAGTTTGACTCTGTCAATTTAAAGACTAGGAATTAGATTTTTGTTAATAATGTCATAATATCTAAAATTAATAACAAAGTATGGATTTGAAAAATGCAATACTATCGTTAAAATACAAAAACGCCAAATATAAAAGTGTGTTTTTTTAATTTAATAGAATCATTTCAATCAACACCTATTTAATACCAACTTAGATTATCAAATAATGATATCGTGAAGAGAGATATTCGCTAATAGAATTACATACAAATCATTGATAGACTGAATATTCCCCCTTCGGTCTCTGGAGTATTTTACGGTAAACAACAAACCCTACGCCTATCGTTAACCACCCTATCCGAACGTGAAATCACTGGCCACACAAAAGCCTCGTTTAACAGACGAAAAATGAAAAACAATTCCAATTTGGAACGTCAACCGTTTGAATTTGGAAACGGGAGGCGACGAGGCGTGCGGTGCGTTGAGGCGTCCGCGTTGGTTCGCATAGCAGGACACAGACCCTGCCGGCACGCGGCATGCGGCGGCCGGGCGGCGGGGAGGGGAGTGGAGGCTCCGGGGGAAGTAGGGATACGGGAATGCCAACTATTTTATAGGAAACACATTTTTTGGTCTTAAATATAAAATATTAGCTAGTGGATGTAGATATCTGTAAAATACGTAAACTTTTCCGTCTCAAACGGTTCGGTGCTAAATTATCTAGTTAGTATAAATATCTGTTTATGAATAAATAGTTGAGGAAAATAAACATAGACTACGTTAGCAACGAGTATAATTACTTTGTGTCGTCGAAACAAGGCTCCGAGTTATTTGGAAATTGATCGAAGCGACATGCAAGGGAGTCGCAGTCCTTTGTCATTTATAACAAAAGAGCCAGCGAAATGTATTGTGCAAAGTCTGTGCAGGATGTCGACGCTGGGGAAAGACGACCTCCGCACGTCTTGGCGACAGGCGGCACGAGAACGAGGAACAGTAAAATCCCAGTCGTATGCTTCGATTGTATTCTGTGTATATTTTTAATTTCGGCATTCTTAAAGCCCAAGGCGAAAGGGGGAAGTTATTAGTTTGATGCCTAAGTCTGAGTCTGTCTTTTTTGTGTCGAGGGTGGAAACGAATGAATAGAATCTGATTTTTTTAGATTGTCTACTTTGGAGATTAAAAATTTACTTTGTGATTTTTATATTAAAAATGTACAAAATATTATATATTATAAATATTTTAAGTCCAAAGAAATTCAAATAAAAGGTACATTCAGATAACATTATATGGATTTACTTTTAACCACAATAATATTATAGTTAGGAGAAAGTATTTAAGAGTTGTAAATGTTAGAAAACTCTCAATAAATATCGTATACATCGAATAAAACAGTTAAACAAAACACGATGTTGTTTCGAGGAGCCGCAGAAGCGGTTATTTTATTATTATTCGTGATGTTAATAACAATAAAAGTTTTAGAGCGCGACCGCGAAGTTGTTTCGAGTTGCGGTTCCTATTTCGATACGCAGGAGCAACAGCCCCGCAACTTTACTTCGTTTATTTCTGAATGTAATGATGTATATTCTCATTGATATGAAACTATAATTAATTAAAACATTTAAATTGTATTTAACCAGCTGTATTTAACCATTTACAGACATTATTGTAACTTAAATTTATGGTATTTGTTATTTGTTGTAAAGTTTTTGTGATTTTGCTGCATGCAATGGGGAAAATCCTAGTGATATTTATTACGAAAATAAGCGATAATAGGTTTTAATGTTATCAAAATTTTCGGATAGTTTTGTTATGTTAGATGTGATGTTAGAATTTTAATATTATTGCTATTGAATTTGTGACGTTTATCTTTTATATAAAATTCTCGTTTCACAATTTTCGTTCCCAAACTCCTCCGAAACGGCTTGACCGATTCTCATGAAATTTTGTGAGCATATTGAGTAGGTCTGAGAACCGGCTACTGTCTATTTTTTAATTCCGCGCAGCCGGAGTCGCGGGGGACAGCTAGTATAAAATCTAAGCATTGACACTAAAACAAGAAAGTAAATTGGTTATTGTTTGTGACCAGTGTCACGGTTATCCAATGCAAGCAATTGCTGCGGAACGGCTTTATCTACAAGTCTAAAATTCCTAACAATCGATCGCTATCATTAACTTTTATTGATATTGCTCCGCTGCGTTGTAGACTGAAGCTTTGTGTGTGTTTCCATTGTACTATATTAGTTTTTCTTAGTTTTAATACATTTATTGCACAAATAAACAGCAACCATTTCTATGAAAGATTTCCTATTGTAAGTTGCACTGAAAAGTGTGAATTGTAATTCATTATTAATTCTAATGTACGCCTAGACTTATTGTGAATTATTATTAAGTTGGAAATCCTCGACATTGAAGAAACAAAAAATAATCAATAAAATTTACCTTTTTTATCAAATTATTTTTTTCTGTTTGAACATAAAACCTGAAGAATTTAATTATCTTATGCTTTCGCTGCCTCCTGATCCAAACTTATCTAGTTTCCCTGTTTATCGTTTTATTGTGGAGGTGGTACGTAGCGGTAACACACGCTGTATAAAATTACTGCGGCCATGTTACGGCCAGCGCGTAACATTTTACGAGATCTTTGATACGCGAATCAAATTCAAGACATCTCTGTTGCGCTATGATGTTCTTATTTAATATCCTCAATCGATATCTTGGTTTCCTTTTATTATCATCTATGTTTACTTTAGTATATTTTTGCATAGTATGTAGTAGGTAACACTGGAATGATTTTTGACTCCGAGATTGTCAAGGAACCATTTTTAAGTTTAAATTGCATTGAATAATTAAAATTTAAGCAATCGTTTGTATAAAATGTAATACGCAAACGGTTTTAGGAGATGTAAGTTAGCTTTATTAAATTTCTAAAATGATAGATTGCTATCTTGAGATTATACTGGATTTATTAATTCAATCGGGATAGTATTACGGAGTCAACAAAGGCCCGCCGGCCGGGACATGTGAGCCTTCCAATGAAATTAATAATGTATATCAACCAGAAGCGCTATTCAATGCCTTCCTCCGCGTTAATATTTGACGAAGGAAAGTGGGTGAACGATATCGATCCTGTAGCGTGGTCGGACGCCTCAGAGACACGATTACTTGGTCACTTACAAGCTTCCGAAGTCCTAATAACGTGCTAATAAGTAAAGAATGGTTAGAGATTTTACATAACTCCGAACTCACCAACATTTGCGTTAAATCTTACTCTTTATTCGTTATTAATGATATCGTGGTCGAAATATCTATAATAAATATATAGCAACATAACCTATATGATTTTTTAACTAGTATCTTTGTAAAATTCAAAATACGACTGTATCTTTGTATGTTCACTTCGTATTAATTTTCTTATCAATTTTATTGCTTAGAATTACTACGCATTCAAAATGCGCGAGTCACTGGAAAATTGTAATTAAATTCAGTATCACACAATGTACAAAGTTTCATTAGTTTTGTTATTCTCCATGCAGTTAGTATTTGGAAGGAAAGCGATAACTGTAAAACTAGACCCGAAAAATGTTGTAAATACAATACGTACGGTGTTTGATGAGCAATATGTGGAACAGGTAGCTGATATTATAGCAGAGAAAGCGGCGAAACGATTTGTTAACGAAATCATAAAAAACTTTGAAGAATTAGATAACAATCCTATAAGGTATTTTTTTACAATTTTAAAATATCAAAAAAATCAATAAGCGTGACTCATTTCATTTGGTAAAGTTACATATGTCGAAAATTACCCAATTTTGTCTTTTTTTTTCTTTATAGGTCAATGAAATTAGATCAAGAAGAAGGGAGAGGTAAAAATAGGAAAGAGATGAAGATAATGGATAATGAGGAAGCACTGAAATTATTAAAAAGACCTTCACCAGACGGCGACAACTTGGATGAACTCAACAAGGAGAGTCTACTTCTTAGCAAGGAACAGGAAGATATTAAACAGAAGAAGAAAATACCAGTCATTGGATTAATGAAAATTAACGGAGTTTACTATAGAAGATTCTTAGGTGTTATATAGTTATATTATTTGAGCAAAATAAATATTAAAAATATGTTTACAAGTGCTATTTGTTACTTATAATATGATTTAACAAATTACATAATTCAATATGCTTATAACTGTAATACCTGGATCAACACCTCTTCATTGATGTTGCAAGAACTCCATATTTTTATACGAAATTTAGACAGTTTGATTCTTTTCTCGCTCTGAAACTTTGCTTAGTATATTGTTATCGAAGCATCGAAGTCGTCAAAGGCGAGAGGAAATCCTTGAAGATTGTCGCCACCATAACTCACAGGCTGCATGAATTATTGATGGCTGCCACACAATGCCGGGACGTCTGCAAACACCCAGCCGGGATATAACATCATAAATAAACGCTTTATACTTTTTAAAATTGTAAAGGTGTTATAGATAAGATACAGGATATCCTACTGTTTACTAAAAAGAATTTGAAAAATAAATCATCCTTTTCATATATCTTGACCTACCATTTTTCTAAATTTGTAATTGAATTTAAACAATGAAGAATATGTCTTTAAATAGTAATAAAACACAAAAGAAGGAAAGTATCATTTCTATTTACGATATCGAGGAAGACACATACAACAAAAGCGTGACACTTTTATTGAAACACAGAGATTTTTGTTGTAATTGGAAATCAAATTAAATCAAGTACAGTGGCTAACTTTCGTGGTGGCGATCACATTGAATAATATAATTACCGTGAGTTGGAGTGGCGCAGCCGATAGCGATGCGGGTGTAGGCGTAGCGCAAATCCATTTGCTAATTATCAGTTAAGCGCGACGCATGAATGAACGAAGCCCTTGCGGACAGTACTGACGCGTTACATAATACAAACCTTTGTCAATAATTATATAATTAATATGTTACATAGAATCCATGTTACATTATGTTTTATGTTTAGTTACTAATTCTCCGGCTAACTAATAAAGTCCATGATCTTTGTCTAGCCTTCTGGGTTACGGACTGAGCTATGTTGCCGTTGTTATTAATTCTTTAGACTTAAATTATCCTAACCTATTCTATGTGATATTTAAAATTTTACAATTTTACGACATTGTCTATACTATGTGAAATATGTAATCATGTTCAACGACCTACCTCAACATCTTTTGTAGCTTAAATTAGTGTTAGATAACTATCGAAGATTCCACGCAATGGTATAGGATCATTCTAATTTTGAAATTTACTTTTTCTTTTAAAGTTGTTACGCTCCAAAGTAGCGTTTATAATCCCTCTTCACTCATACTTATTCCCAGAGACGGTGTAAGTGGATTAGGGGCATTAGAGCTGGATCAATAGTCCCGCTTTCGATTCTACGAGTAACTACTGGCCCGTTAGATTTTACGCCTGCCACTTTATACCACTAAAATATTTCCCATCAGAAATTTTTGTTATTTGACGGCTACCTAATTACGTCATCAGTGTTTCATAATCTCCGTCAATCAAATTCTAATGGAAATTGTTATGTTAATTAGGTGTGCGATATTTTAAAACTAGAGTTAGAATAAATATCATTGTCAAGTTTTTAGGTTGGTAACACTGGTGTTTTGCTTCAATTGTAAGTTACGTTGTTATTACTATATTAGAAGATTAACTCTAGTTAATATAATAAATATTGAATTGCATAAATTAAACAAGAATTACATAAATTAAGTCTACAAGTTACAAAACAACCTTTATTTCTGTAAATAAACACTGATTCTCTCCTTTATGTATTAAATTTCATCAAAATCGTAGAGTTTCGTAGAAATAAGAATGATTTAAACAGAACAAACAACATTAAAATCAATACAGGACGCTTTATTAAACAAACAAACAGACGCAGCGGATAAATTGCTTAAAGTAAACTGCCAGATACAAATAAAGAAAATATACGGAAATCATAGAAAAGTAAACGGACTAACAGCATGAGACTGTATGAAGAGATTAGAAAGAAGACTTGGATGTGGTATGAAAGCAAAGCATATTGTTTTAGTATTTCGAATCAGTTTTAAGCAATAATGTCTGTAGCTTTTTCATGTTAGTTTCATACAAGATACTTGTTAATGACCACTTCACCTTTTTAATTACAATTCATTACAACCGATTTTAAAATGAAATTTAAAAAAAATATTTTATTAGTAAGAGGATAAGAGAGTTTAGTTTTAAATTTCTTAGTTGATGTTTGGGTCGAAGAGTCGTGTCTCGTCGCCGCGGGGAGTTAGGACGGGTCGTGGAACGCGACCCATTTTAAATTTTCCTCCTGTGAACCTGTAGCGCGGAATGCTTTTACAGGAAACTCTCAGATTTCCAATATTGCAATATTGACGCTGTCGTGTTTGCACATCGCAACGCCAGACTGATATAGAAATTCTGTCGTATACCAACATTATTTAAAAAAATATATTATACAGGATTCAAAGGATATTTACGAAATAAACTTACATTTTTCATTGACAATAAACACATTTGTACTTATTAAGTTCTTTGTAAACTTTAAACTTATAAAAATATAGCTATAAGAGAAATATTTAAAAAAAAATCGTCTTCCAAAATTCTTGCCCTAATAAAAATATCTTTAGAATATATAGTCAAGAAGATAACAAAATCCGTGCATAATTTTTTACATACACCTATCAATAGGTCATGCGACAAACACATTATCAGCGTTTAGTGACATTTCTGGAATGGCTTATGTCTCATTTGAGGCTGGAGCGACCGCTTCGCTACGTGACGCGAATCGCGCGCTATTGCCTTTTATTGTATTACAACCGCTCGGAACATGTTGAAACCGGTTATAGCTGGAATTGCCAGGGACGGGATACGATTTTTGTTGATTTCCGCTATTTTGGCGCAATTGTGAATGCTTATGATATTTCTTTATATGTGTCTTAGGAAACGTTGTGAACACATACATATTTATGGAACCAAAATGTGACATCATTTACGTTCCAGTAAAAGAATTTTAAAGCTATAAAGTTACGTGAAAAAATACATTTTGACATATTTTTGTGTATCCATTTTTGTTTAAAAAGGCACGTAAAACACACGTTCTGAAATAGCAAATATTAAAATTTTAAAAGTACTGTTGTGAAATAAAAACTATGCAAATTTTTGTAGCATAGAACATGTGACACGTGAGCATGTTTGTTGTACGGCGGTGTATAGTCTCTCAGCAGATTTATGTTAATAACTGTGCCATGCGGTCGCTGCGGGATTCATTTCGTGGATTTATAGGTCTCGCGACACCGGCCTGATTAAATGTTGCCGTTACTGAATACGACCTATACCTACTAGAACGTAAAAGACAAAATCAGCGAAGTGAATTTGTGAATTTCACGTTATTTGTGCATAACATAACATATTTTAACTAGTCTCTTCTTCTGCGCGGAAATAAAAAAAAAATAGTTAGTAGTCTATGTGTTCTTCCAGACTATATTCTACATCCATGCCAAATTTGAACGAGATATGTTGAGTCTTTCGGGAGATACACGCTAACAAACATCTATGGAAATATTCATACATTTAAACATTCGCATTTTACTATTAGTAAGAAAAAAGAGAGTAGGGCTAGTAAGTGTACTTTCATCGAAAGTCGTTGGCCCCTTGCGTCCCGCCAGCCCTGCGTTCTAGACGTGACACGAATCAGGGCCGCCGCGCTGTTTATTGTATTACAACCGGAACCAGTTTGCACTGGTTATAGATGGATATATCCAGTAAGGGTCGGTTAGAGACGATCTTATACATCCTTTGTCCATTTCCCTTTCCCTTTTCTATGTTATGTTAAACTGTTAGGGAAAAACAAAATCAACATAACGATATTGTAATAATATAAAATACTGACGTGTTTTGTAATAAAAGGTCATAATAAAATTAACATTAGGCAATGAATGAAGATAAATAAAATTAGTAGAAGCACGTTAGGTACAAATTTTAAATTTTTTTTCAAGTGCTTTTAATACCAACAAACATTTTGAAACGTAATAGCTTACCATATATTTCCAATCAAAATAAGGCTGCATTTACCTTGTCATAGGTCTGGTGTAAAATGTAAGAGTGCTACGAAAGACGTCCCCAAGTTACATTATATGAATATATATCCAACAATACTGCAAGTAACAGTTTCACTTATTAAAACGGAAGCCGTACCGCGTCTTTACGTCCCTCGTTCCGTACCAGAAATAAAATCCACTGGGGTGCATGAAATAACAATGAATTGTTCGATCTTTTGACTGAAGTCAGGTGCGCTTTTGTTGATACCTTAGAAAACTTCAATGAAAATGCGAATTGAACATTTTAATATACTTCTAACTTTTTTTATAATCGAACAGAGCTTTGTAAACTGATATATATGAATAATTTAAGAGCTTTGTAAGTTTAATAAAAAGGTATGGTCGTATCGTTTAAGGCTTCATACACGAAATTATGATTTTATAGAATATTAACATCTTTAAAACAACTATTGTATACCAAAATTACACGTAATAATATTACTAAGGTGTTATTTGTATTAATTTTAACAAAAACTGCATAAAAACGTAGATTTTATATCAAAGCTACTGGTTTATTTTAAACAGAATAAAAAACACAACACCATTTATCTTTCATTGATTAACAATTAAATGTCAATAAGAAAAAGATCAAATAAAAACATAATTTGTCCACATCAAGTTGATAGCATTAATTTCGGCTAAATTGATAAAAATTAAACATCGTTAGGTTAATTCGTAACAGCTTAGAAAAAGACGTATTATTCTCTTTATTAAGATTAATTGTAAAAGAAAGTAAATTCGATTATTTAAATGATTGGATTATTGTGAATAAGATGTACCGATTAATGAAATAGAAACTATAAATACAGTGTATTATAACAATTCTACGTTTAGACATACCTGTTAATAAGAATATAATAACGAAGGAAAATATCAAGAAACATATGAATATTTCATAGCGCACGAAAGCCAGAAATGTTATGTCACAATCCTGACGTCCTTTATGCAACTGTATCAGAACTATGAA